TCTCGAGTTTCGGTTTATGATCTGTTTAATGTCTGTCACGGAAATAAAATTGATAGTTCCGTTACGTTTCGTGGTGAATCAGATGCGAGGCTATCGAGTATTCAATGGCATCGATTTATTTTATACACAACTTTATTATGTTTATTTTATGGTCGAAATAGAAAACAAACTTAAACTGATGGAATTAGAGTTGGGATAAATCGTTGAGATCCATATTCTCATCATGTAGATCTTACGCTCCAAATCCTGATTGATTGCCTTACCTAATAGCTCTTATTTTACTTCCAAATTATTTTTATTCAGGTGGAAAAAAGTGAATTTATGCGCAGTCTAAGGTAATGTAATCGCCTGCTATGTAATGATTAAAGGACATAGATGAAATAGCTTAAATCAAAGCAAACAAAAGTAAATAAGATTTCTACTTTTTGAAATTAGTAAATAAAATATAACATCTATGTATTTTGAAAAAGAAACTAAAAAGTGTGGCTTTAGTTCAATACTAAAAATGAATTTTGTGAGGATGCAAGCCGACATTGCACAAATGGCACACCAACCATGAAAGTGCATAATTCCTTTATTTTCCTTTGACGTAACACTGTCAAGCCACACAGTTGACATAAGGGCTTGCAAAGTACACAGATAATGTCAAACAAGGAGTGTATGGTTGTCTTTTGTTTTGTGTGATGTTTCTCCTACTCGGTCACGGCAGACCTGTGGTTTTACGTAGGTCAAGAACGATTTTAATCTCCTTTCGATTTGCTATATATTTAGTTTATTCAATTAGGTATTGTAGCTGGGTATTTTAGAGTCGATGAAGTCATACTAGAAGTGATTTGTGATGTTGTGATGTTTTATAGCTAACCTCTTTGTATTTTGAATTTGCAGTAATGTAAAATTACTGCTATTTGCGATTTTCTTTTTTAAACATCCGCGTCGACCTATGTTTTTTTTCGATAGAATAGTCTGTAACATTAAGTAAGTGTAGTAATACTTAGCTTCGAAACTGCTTTGAAGTATATGATTTGGCAGCATGCAGTATGCGACAATTTCGCCGTTTTTTCATAATTTCTATTCTGTTTTTACCTTAAAAACTTTTCGATTAGTTTAGGCTAATTTTGGCTTTGAATTATTCGTGGAAGTCCAGAAAAAAATTAACGTAGAGAAAATTTTAAAAAATCTTGAAAGCTTGTAAAGTCACCCACGTGGGGGATCGCTAGCTATATCTAAAATATTTTATTTTTTGAGACCTACCTAAAATGTTTATGAATTGACTGTGTAAAACCGTGGAAAGTTTGTATAAAGTAAGCTGCGAAGCGAACTTTTCGCAATCTGTGCGGTACGATCCGAGTAAGTACCCTTCACCTCGAAACTACAAAAACACCGCTCAACTTAACGACCGACAGAACACACAAGAACAAAGAAAACGTATCAATTAAACAAATACAGGAAATGAACATTCGCTTACAGTTAATTATGAAGTAAGTTGGGCGATCAAAAAAAAGATTGTCACGTGCGAAGGAGGTACACATTAACATAGTCCTTGTTTTTTCGTCTCAGATTCGTGACACATCGTGTGTGAGCCCTGTGGTAAATAATAAATCTTTCTAATAAATAAAACAAGGGAACGTGAGCGAGATAAAGCGCGCATGCGCGTTCGGTGCGCCCTAAACGCCATTGTGGACGCCGACGGCAGATCGTTAAATGAAGGTGAAAATATTTTTGTGCCTTTTTTAAAAGATCAACTCGATGTGTTGATGTTTTCATGTTAACTTGTGGTACGAGTAATTGTTTGATGTCTTATGCGCTTACGCAGGGAACTGTTTGCCGAGTCTTTGACAGCGAGTTTATGTCACATACATTCTGATGGGATCAATAGCGTCATTTGATTATGCTGTTATATTTTTTTGCATTATAGTGCTTATTTACCTATCTAAAATACATACATAGGTACATAGGCGAACTTCATGATATAAGTAGGTATTTCAATAAATTAAATTAAAATTGTTGACTTATTTTCTTATTTGTATGTATACATAAAAGTATGACTTTGTTAATTTGGTGCATCATGGCATTTAGCTTACCATATGCTCATGTAATTTATTCTCGTAAACGTTAGTTCATACCGGTATCTATTGGGGTGCGCCCGATGACTTACGTAGGTACCTAATGTAAACTTAATTTATTGCCACTGTTCAGGCAGGGTAAAATGTATCACTACAATAATGCTGAAAGTTACAGAAAGTCATGATTGATGTTCGTGATGGTGCCGTGATAGGTTTGGATGAAAATACGAAGGTTTCAGTTAGAACCGAAGATTTATTTGCGTATGAGTAAAGGTATTTGCTGTTTAAGTTTTAGTTTATTATAGTCAAGTGGTTGCAAGTACGACCTCCAAACAAGAAATGTCTCGTTCAATTCCCAGGGCACGTCTAGCCTTATTTTCGATAGTCGATATTTTTTCCAGCAATAGGAGTAGGTATAGAAGGGTTTTCGAAATTTGAACAATTGGTTTGTACATTTTTAATACAAAATTCAATAGCTATTTTTACCAAGGTATAATAAAATAAAATCCGTCCCTGTAAATTGCTACTTACTAACCTTCTCACAATCCAACCAATCAAGTTTCTTCAAAACATTTTTTAAGGAAAAAAACGGTGACCCAACTCTATCCACAATGTGGTAGGTCATTCTCAATGAGCTTCGGTTGTTAATGTGTAAATATATGTTTCACATTTACACGGCTGTGACATCCACGAACATTGTGGTCGGAATGCCGAGACCCGGCCGCGACCGCGGTCAGATTGTCGCACGAAGACCAACTATTGATAATGCCGCTTCTTGAGTTCCTGCCCTAGTGGTCGCATTTAGATGATCTTTTAATAAGAAATAAATATGATTGAATATAATTTAGTAATGAATTATTTATTATTTGGATTGTTGATCGTTGGAAGGTTTATCGCCAAATCAGACCTTAGGCTTCAAAACATTACCTTATGTTTTAAGAAGTTATTGTATGTTATAATGTTACTTCTTAATAAATTTCAGGACTGACCATTGAACTTGGCACCCATTTAGATCTCACTTCTTTTGTCGTTGAAATCAATTAACAACTAAGGTATTTATCATAGTATTAAACTTGGCTCCCATTTCACATTAAAGTTTTTGATTGGATAGTCATTTTTTTTAAACCTGTATTTCGCTAGTATTTGAAAAATTCAATTTTCTTTAGGATACATAACAAATGAGCATACTAACCACTTGACGGTAGATTATAAGCACAAACCGGAGGCCAAATCCTTCCCCTCCCCCGATCCCTCCCAATCCCTAAATCTCCAAAACGTCAGCAACGCACTCGTAACTCCTCCGTTGCGGGTGTCCATGGGCGGCACTAATTACTTACCATCAGGTAATCCAGCTGCTCGTTAGCCGACCTATTTCATAAAAAAACCACGGAGATCCACGACACTAGAGTTCGTTGAGTAAAGAATTCAAAGGGACTTTAAGTTATATCTTTAAACCTCATATATGTATATTATATCAGCCAATTTTTCAACTTATCTATATGAGCGTTGATATAAGATTTGCTGTCATTAATTACTATTACTATTCCACTTACCGTTATTTATCCACCATTGAAACAGATACCACCTCGGAACATTATTTGCTTTCATCGTTTAATAATAAGAAGCCAATGCTTTCGTTTCATCCGACAAGTCCAAATGTAACACCCGCAGGTTTTTGACGACTTATAGCGTCGTCGTCACAACAGATTAAACAAATATGGCGGGAGTCGTTTGACAGTTCGCTTTGTGATCAGTAGCGGGACGTGTTACACAACACAAATAAACATACACACGCTAACAACTCACCATTCAGTTTCAAACCTTATCTCATCGACACATAGTTCAAGAGTAAAAGACCGGTAGAAAAGTTAATGTTGTGTGTTGAGTTTTTTATTATTTTTCAGGTCCCATCGCCTTGGTCGTACTAATTTGTCGGAGACCAAGTCACCAATGCAAATATGGCTGGTGTTGTGAATACCTTGTGTAAAGATATGAAATTGTTTCCAGTCCCGACTCATGGGAACATGAGTGATCCGTGTTTGTGACTTAGAAATAATATTCTAATGAAATATTTGCTTAAGTCCTTTTTACGGGATATTATTATGACATTATATTAACGTGAACTACGTGGGTGGTAAGGACGGTAAATACGATGAAGATAAATCATTATTGCACAATCTATATGAATTTCCTCATCAACGATCATGATCATCATAACTTTAATCACCAACTTATTTCGTCAATAACCTGTCATAAGCCAGGATTGACTTTTGTAGAGGTAGTAAAAAAAGTAAAAATAAAAAACGTTGACATAAATGTAATAATAATTTAATTTCACAAACATAGCTAGGTATGTTTGTGCCGCAGTTATAAATAGGTACTATTTGAACTATACAAATATTGATTAAGTTATAAATACACTGGCTCTGTATTTTTACAATAATATAATTAACAGCTCTATTAAAGCTAGTCATATTTCATTGGATTTCAGTAACATATAAATAGTTAACAAATAGTCAAGTAATACTAAGGAAAGTAGGAATATACAATTAAAATTATTCGTCTCAGCCTCGAGCTACCATGTCATAATATAGATAATTAAATATCGACAACAGCAGAATAGAAACTGTTCTGATACACCGTTTGACACATTCATTATTCCGACTCAACAATTTCATAACAGTCCAAGTGCTGGAATGAAGTCTAATACTAAAATCTAAATTAAATAATACGAATAATAAAGAAATTGAAACTAAAGTGGAGTTAAGCGAGAAATAAATAAGACCTTGACTAGGATAATCGGGAAATTTAGAATGTTAATCAGCAGACAATAAATAATACATTTTAAATTCGTCACTATTTACAAAAAAGGAACTAATTCTTTCTAGACCAAAATGGCAATGTAATGGCAAAGACAGTTTTTCTATACATTAATTCGCTATTCAACAGCCAAAAGATGCAAATAATTCTACTAGAAAGAGTTTTTCATGGGTCTGACTAATACTGAAGAGCACTGCTTCGCCACGCGAGCACCAAGATTAAGTAGGCAGCCAAAAGTTACATGGGGTGTGCAGTTTCTCTTCGAGTCACATTGTAAGACTCTTGTTCATAGCTGCTGTGTTCAAGCAGATGTCTCGTAAACCTTCTGGAACACCTGTGCGAGGTACTCCAAGTAGTTTAGGGTGTCCCTGTATAGGAGAGCGCCCATGTTGCTCTGCAGGTCAGGGATTTCAGAGTCCAGAAGTTTTTCGATGTGCAGATTGCGAACGTGCATGATGTCCTGCAAGAAGAAAAACACTTAATAAGTAAAATGTGAAAAAATCTAATTTTATAATTCTACATCAATGAAAATTACATAAAGTAAAGACGTAAAGTTTGGCAGGGTCTAACAAATCTAATTCTTATACACATTTAGAAGATTTGGTGAAGAGTACGGATACTTACATTGAAATAGCATAGAACAGCTCGCACATCGTGCATTGACTGAGTTATGTTTGACTTCAGGCCCTCGTCCGCTATTATGCTGGTGTTCGAGAGCTCTTCAGAGAACTTGTGCAGTCCTCCAACAATCATCTTCAGCCCTTTGTACATTCCTGGCAATAACTCGTCGAGTTTTGGCTGTGGACAAAACAGAAGAAAATTAAAACCAAGTTTTTCAAAACATTGTTATAAGTTTTGATTGCAAATTACAACCAAAAACGGCATCGCATTGCCAAACTTTCTAAAACTGATAAGGACAATCGCAATCATCCTAAATTCGATTACATTTTTGATTGTGTAGCATTGCGAAACCATTGTGTTCTCACGTAAGCGATAGTCGGCCGACAACAATGAGTGCCACCGACGATGTCGATTCTTTGAAATCGATTGAAAAACTCATACGGATGCACGTTTTTGGCATCAGCGAATTCGCCGCCCTTCTGTGATTGTTTTCGTTTAGGAAACGTCAATCTGGCAACGTCCTTATTATCAAAAAAAAATATGGTTTGTAGATATTTCTCAAGACTTTAGATTATTAACTATGAATAGATGTAATAAACTAGATCTAATAAGCTATAGTGCATTTCAAAAAAGATTGACACTTACCATTAACTGTTCAATATATTCATCAGGTAGCTGATGGTAGAGGACTTTCTCCTTCGGCAGCCATTCTTTTGGGAGGTATTCAGATGACTCCCATGGGCCGAGAAGGTCATCAAATTTGGGATAACTATGAAGCATTGATGCCTGAAACAAATGAAATAATATTTTGTTAGTAATTACCAAATAATTTTGTTAAATTACGCAAGAAATGACATAATGAAGATCTACAATAACACTACTTTTTATAGCTAAATAAATACAAGGGACATGATCAGTGAATCAACGTCTATTGAGAGCACTTGTATTCTATGAAAGATAGAAATAGATCGAGTTAATAGGATAAGTTGATTGACTTTCATGGAAAAAGAAGATTGAGCGGACGATGAGTCCGAGCGGTTTCCTGGATTGATGGTATAAATGTGATTCGAGTGGGGAGAGCTCTGCAGTGGCCAGTGGAGAACAGAGTATTTGGTTACTAGAATCATGTTTTTGATAAATTTGGGTGAAATATTTCGCTTTAGGTAAGTGTTCATTCGCCAATATTTTATATTACTTTTTCAAGGTAGCAATTTTGACTGATTTTTATTTTAAACAGTAGATACGACAATTTTGTATTCAAATACCTATAATTATCTTTAATGTAAAAAATAATATTATAATTAATCTAAGGCTAAAGAATAAACAAACAGAAAAATAAGAGTAGAAAATATAAATATCCAGCAAAGAAGTTAAAACACCCACTTACGTACACGCGTTACCTAGTAGCAAATTGTTCTTAGAAATGACAAACGTTTACTGCCCTCAGGAGAAAGAAACCAACACAGCATGATCTATAAAGAACTGAGAATTATTATATTTGATAGATCAAGTTATGCTGGTGGCTCACCCGTAACTATCATTTATTTATTTTAAGACTATCTTTCAATTAGATAATCTCAAATAAAGACTAAATGATCGCCATGGATATTAATGGTCAAGTTTTGTTGTTGTGTTTACTAATCATTTTATATTTACACAAGTCAACACTGAGTGATACTTGATTAGACCAAGTTACCTACATCCAATTTGATATTAACTGAGTATTAATATTCGATACAAACGTTCATGATAATCAATTTTATCGACAAGCGAAGGTCGTGTGTAAGATGAGATCGAAACCAGAGGTTTGTGGCCGCCGCCGACGACATTTCACGTAACAAAACCGTTTCGACATTAAAATTTGACACTGACCATATCACACATTATGATAAGGGTATAAACAAAAACTGTCCTTGTACTATTAACTTTAGAGTCGAAATAGCTTTGACAAATCAAACAATCGGGGCTGGACTGGCAGATGTAACGCTTTGTATTTAAGTATCCCTTTATAAAAATACTTTAGACAACAATACTACTAATTAAAACTTTTACAAAACCTCAAAAATACAGCTACGCAACTGTTTATCGGTGACGATCAGAAAACGTTGTCCAAATATTAATTTGCTTCATTGAAATTGAGATACCGCCGATATAAAATTTGCTGATAATACGCGCAGTGAAATAAATTTACGATTATTTCTTTGGACATAAACCGAGTCGCGGTGTATGAATGGATTCAAGGCGGAGATATTATCCGATGCAGAAGTGGTAAGTAATTGGCAGGAAAATTAGAGTTTACGGACCTTTAAAATTAAAAAAAATAAAACTTTTGAATGTTAATGTTTTGTCGGCAAATGAATGTAGTGCAGATGATTTCACAAAACAAGAAGTGTAAGAATGTCAAAGTAATGATATCGTACCGAGATGGAATGTGCTATGTAGTCACTGGCACACTAAATGTAACAGGTGTGCGTCCGGTCTATCGGACCATATCCGAAACATTACCTACTAGCTGTGTGGAGCTTGCGGCCAAACTAAGGCGTATCTACATGATAGGATACGTTAATAATGCCGTGCATTCCCATCAGTTTAGTGTGCTAGTTACGATTGGGCACATAAATTATGCAAATGCTGCAATCGCGAAAGTATTTGTCAATATTCAAAAGTATTTAATGAGTGGGTTGTAATATTTTTAGCAAAGAATCGATGTCTAATGCTAAAGGATATGTATATTGTAATATTTCAATTCGTATAAACTAACTGCAGCCATGAAATTGCACGATAGAATAACATATCCCGGTAATAATTTAATGGATTCAGCGCGTTGCAGTTACCGTGGGTGGGCACCAACTAAGAAATTCGATGACTTAGCATCCGAATGCCTAGCTCGAAACATCGGAAGCTTATCAAATAAACATGCACCCACACAAGCGCAGACATTGATATATTTACGGCACACGTACGCACCCAACGCCGCAGACAGCCTGTCGCCCGTGTGAACAACGCTATCGTACTATGTACGTACATACATATTGTATGTATGTGCTATGTATTTCAATGTTTATATAGCGTAGCTATTGCAAAGATAAGCGAGCAGATGCACACGGGCGCGAGTGTTGCGACGTGCGGGATGCCGCGAGTCGATCGCTATCGCCGATCGGGTTACATTGCGAATACACCACTCATTTGTTTATCGTAATTACTTTCAAAAGTTTACGAGCACTTTTTTAAGGAAGCGAGTTGAATTCCAGTGTCGAAAATGTGATGCGATAATATGACACCGGTGTAGTCAAAAGCACGAGTGTTATGACACATTCACACGGTGGCCGGTGGCGAGTCACACAGTACCGGTAGAGTTCGTTGAATTTGTTATTGCGTTCTTAGTACAACGCGGCCAGTTATTATTTATACGGAATGGGCTTGACGACAGATGTAGCAGCCTGATTTATTTAGGATATATTGTCTCTCAGACGTAACTTAGACGTTTATCTGGTTTAATGTGATGACAAATATTAACAGGACGAGATTGAAAATTATGATAAAGCAAACAATTTTTGTTGAAAACAGGAGCTTAAACAAAGAAAACGTAGACGTCCTTGTAGGCTAGCAACAATGGTAGTTCATCGCCACGATTTGCGTGTAAATTGCAATAAATATGATACATTAGTACCGAATGACCGACATTAAGGGGAGAGACAGAAAAAATCGTCGGGCAGGTGTGTCGCGCAATACTAATGCGCAATCAGTATTCGAGGCGTACGCGCACCGTCCTGTACCTCGTTCCGGCTACAGTGAGTCGATAATGTCGTTTTACGAGGAGGCAGCGGACAGGACGTCGCCGTCGTTACGACCGTCGAGCCTATTACAATGCCACCATACCTCATACGCGAACATCACACTCGATAACTGGACACATTCGACATAAAAGCTTCCATTGTTCCGCTACCATTGACTGCCCAGCTCTCAATAATTCGATTATATTGACAACAATCACCGAAATGTATACGAGTTGCCCCTGGTTATCGCGTTGCTGCTGAGTGCTTTAGTAAAGGGTCATCCATAAATGATTCGAAGCGCGACTTCGACATCGCATTATTTCTCGTTGATCGGCTCACCTTACTTCCGATTCGGAAATTATTATATTCCTAGGATTGAAATGATAGAGCCGTCATATGAATCGTTGTATTAACATGCTAAACGTTTGTTTCTAATAATTCGTGAATGTTTTATGAATTCTTGAATGTAGGTTGAATTGTCTGCGATTCTTATGCGACAATATTATACCATCTGATAAGTTTAGGTGTTTTGTTTTTATTTGAACTGGTTTATTTTAAAGAATGGTGTTTATAATTAAACTAACTGGTTTGAGCTAAATGCTCAGTTCCAATGAGTAATTTAAGCGTACAGACAAGATTGATGATCAGGGAATGTGATTTGATCAGTAACATTTTATTGTCATTTACCATGACGTGTACCGTTTACAAAGTATTTTATTGGCAGGCCGTCACAGAACTGCAGCGCGAAATTATAATTAAAAGGGAGGAAGCGGTCGGCCGGACGTAGAGACGCGAAACGGCGGCGCCCGGCCGATGCAATCTCTCTACCGTGCCTGCGCCCGCGCAGCTCTGCGGTGAGAAAATCGCGCCAAAAACGTGCACGCCGTGAATTTTTAATGGGTCAGATTTCAAGTGAAACTTTTTGGCAAAATCAATAATGTTATTCTATTTTTAAATTTATTTATAACATTCACAGAAGCCGGCGTCATTCATCAGAAATAAAAGAGTGCAATTCATAATGTTAACAATAAATTACAGATTGTTCACTTTGCATTATATCCCAATAATTTAAAAGAGGAAGTACGAAAAATCGGTGCTAACCATTTGCAGGGTTTACGCGCACGTCAGCTGAATACTATAGCACCTCTTACAGACTCTCATACATAAATCAATAATATCTGCGTAGATACAAACGCTAAAGGCATGCGTCGACGTTAGGCTTAAGTTTTATTGGTATTGGTCGACCGCAAGCTCCGTCCGTTCATTTAGAGCGACGCGGCGGGCATATAGATGTGGACGCGAATACTACGCGATATCGCGATCGCCTCGTGCAAAATCAATGAATGAAAGCGAAGAAAGGCCTTCGGTGCCAACAATCACGGTTTATACTTTGAACAAGTTACTATTTAAGTTCTAAAAGTCTATAACCATGCGAACTCTACGAGAAAACCTAACCACTTCAAAGAAAATAATTTTCTAGTGACAGATTGGCTATTAACTCAACTTATGGTTTGAGTAATCGCCTGGCTCACTGAGAATCGTCCCCAAAACAAGATAAACAAAAGCAGATCCACTTGGAACATTTAGCTACAAAAAGTAAGGGATTTCAGGAGATCTTTGAAACTATTACGAAATTTGCTCTTAGAGTAAAAGCAGTGTTATGTACTTACAAATGTATCCTTGTACTTCTCAGTTGATGAGTAAGTGTTTTTTGCTTGCCGGACGAGCTTCAACGCAACCTCCTTTGTAGGTGGGTAATGTAGTTTTGACTGTAAAGAAAATCAGTGTTAACATTATCTTTGAACATAAGTAAATAATATTATAAATTCTAAACTCTTGTTATTATCATGTTTCGATCCTTTTTGTCCAATTTTTCCATGATCATCTATAATCCAGATATTTGATTGATTATTACATTAACTTCTTTTATCATTGCGGTTTTTTCTGTTTGCCTGTGGTCATTAATCAAATTCATGCGGTCGGTAAAGTCAACCGCAAAAATATAGCATGAATACAAAGTGCGGAAGTTTGCTGTGACAAAATGTTAACAGATATTTTCAAATTGTCAATAGACCAAAGCAAATTAATGCTGTTAAACAACATAATAATCCTATTACTTTGTTCATGACTTTTAACAGTTTCGTAATTTGACTTTTTATGACATTTTTTACTTGTGGAATCATATGATATTTTAAAATTTTCCCAGTCATTATCACCCGGACCCTTTTTAGATTTTCCTACTATTTATTCTATGGCGAAAAATATCTTACTTGAGAATCATTATAATCGCAGGGGTTAGCCCACAGTGTGTTCTCCTCATCCGTGTCACGTCGCTGCCGCTCCATGCTGGCCCGGCTTCGATGTGGCGCCGCCGACGACCTCGGTGACAGACCGCACACCAACAGTAGCAGGCACACCGCCGCGCAGACGTTGACGTATCCTAAGTGATAAAAATATGAATTAGTATGGATTTTTTAGAACGTTTGAAATGTCTAGGTTACTTCAGAAGATTTTGGCCAAAGTTTCTAAAATAAAATTCAAAATTAAGATTACAAATAATAACTTTAACAGCACATTCATATTAACAAATGAAGTAAAAGTGCAAAGTAATCAGGATACGAGTATGTTTTTGTTTGCACAAGTCAAATCTCACAATGCCTTGCGGTCATTCATATTCATTTCTGAATGAAAGCTCTCGTATTTTTTCAATGCATCTCATTTAATGAAAACGCTCAAGAGCCACTTGTTCCGTATGCGGCACGCGCGATGGTATCGATTATGGTAATCGATGAACATCCGATGAATAAATACATCGCGGCCCAGAGGTGGACAGCCTTTGCTAATTGTCCAGTGAACCTGTGTGAATCACTAATGCGGCACTATTTAACGGTGGCGCGGTAATCGGACTCACATTCTTCAGGTAGGTTACTTCATCCAACTTATTTAATCGATTTCTGATATCGAATTGTTTCATCAAATCTATGCGTGCCAAAGGCATTTTATATGGGCGACAAGAAATATATTTTTCATAATTCTATATTATGTCACTTGGAGTATGTAAATAAGAGTTATTTTCGATTTTACAGATAAAGAAATATTAATTGAAACTAACAACTGTCACCAGCAGAAGGTGTCCATCGTTGATGCAGTAGTATTTATTGGATTGACATTCGTTTTACTCGTTAAAATGGAATAATATTATCCACGTTAAAGGAAATAATTTGATGTGTGATTGACATAATTTTTTATTTGAATGTAAAGTTAACTTGCTGCACCTGTATGTTATACCCAAAAAACTATTCATTTGCAAGTAATTTGAATAATTGGATATTGTTAGGATGATTTCAAATGCAATAAATTTATAATAACGTTTATGTTAGCTGAGAAGCGATATGAATTATGAGCTGTCAGCCGGCGGAAATGTCACTGGACGGATCCAACTTCTGAAACCTACTTAGGTACACATCTATGAAAAACTTTAACATTTACTTCGTTTCGTGGTATAAATGTAAAGTAGGATAGGTCATGATAATGTTATATTACAATGACGATCATTATTTCCCATTCTGGTGGTAGATAAGGACCAATTACATAAACTGATAAATTGTTACGTATTTAAAAAATACTGTAGTGACACGTTATCATGAACTACGTATTCCCCCCAGCGTTTGACGTAGATAAAACAATTAGTTTATTATTAAAGATAATAAGCTGCCTTTGCTCGACACTTAAATAAATGAAATTAATCAGGTATCCTATTGTTTATCTTTGTGTATAAATCACACCTGTGATCTTCGACATTGTGCTTGACGTCTAGAAAATATAATTTGATTAACGTCTTAGCAATATGAATATAATTATTTATTACAGTTTTTATTTTTTTCTCTTCATAAATTAAAAACGGTTTACTAATAGAATGAAACTTTATGAAGAAAATCAACGTAAAATACCTCTTCTAAAAAAGCTAATAGTTACCACTTTAATTTGGATTATACAATTGTTTGTTTTTTATCTGTCTAATTGAAACGATAAGTGTCTCTCGATTGAACGCTCTTAGATTCAAAATGTTACTGACCATAATTATGTTAGAAGAGGCAGAACTAATTAATGGGCGCGATATCAAAGTTACAACGAGTCACTCGCGTAGAATGTTATTTGTTTTTTCAGTGTTTTGACTCAAGGTGTGAATCATGAATATTATGTCTGGTGGTTAGTGACTAACGTAGGTAAAGATCTCACTGTTAGGTATTTGCCATGATATTATAATATACCAGAACTGTAAAAAAAAGTTTTTTCGTATGTTAGTTTCGTACTTTTTGTTATTTGGCGATTGGCCATGTTCTGGTCAATGTTTTGTAAACAAAATACTAGACCGTTACTCATCATATTGGATGTGCTGTACCAGGCCCTCAATCATTTCATTCATCATTACACTCAAATAAATTAGTAGAATGTGTGCGTGTGAATTTTTCATCATCTCGTTAGCGCTCGCGGTTTCGCTGCGAGGCGCGAGGGCTGCGGGCACCGCGGACAAATAAAAGAATATTATAGTTATAGGGCGCTCAGCCGCTTATTATTTAACTAGACCTTGTGAACTGATACCGATTACCCTTATAAAAATAAACGTAGGCTATCCCCGCACGAAATAAACGAACATTTTGCATAAACAAATCCCACTCATTAAGTATGCAATCCGTTTAACTAGCCGTGATTTAGTTGTAGGTTATATTGCCCTCTAATTGACACCATAATAATGTTGTACCAATTGGGTTACAAAAGACGACCGCAAAGGTGGAGTCGGGCAATAACGATCATGTCAAAAGGAAGGTCCGACACACAGAACACGCGTTAAACACACGATCATAACATTTTATTAGTGCTCCGGTCAAAAGCAACCGCGGGACCGCCGTCAAAAGTTCACGAACAAAAAAACAACAGGTCAGCTCGTAAAAGACGTAGAGTCACTGTGAGACAAATATTTTCACTGAGTAACCATGAGATGAAGATAACAACACAGGGAAATTAAATCTTTGATGTAAATGACAAGAAAGCTAGAATATTAAATGAAATAATTATATACAATTTATTGAAAAAGTTTTTTTTGTGGAGCGTCAGTAGCGGCGTTGATTTTGAGGTATCGTATTTAACCATAATTAAAACAAATGAATGTTTTTTTTTTCTAAAAGGACGGCAAGTAATTGATATCCTCTTTATATCCTCAACCACCTATACGTGGAGATATTTGAGATGAACAATGAGACTCGATCGAATTCCTTAGCCCATTGAAGAACTGACCGAGCGACCATAAAAACCGTAGATACCTACACGTAGGTAATACACAGGTTATAAGGGGGCATAAAAAAGTAGGGACCGCGTCGGAGGTCGGACCGACTACCCGAGAAACAAAGACTTCGTTTATTTTTTAACAGCTCGCCCGTTCACAAAAGAAGGCTTCGCGGCACGAAAAACGACCCAAACGAGACCATCTTGTTAACCTTTTTAAAAAGAAATCGCGCGCCCGCTAACTAGAATTTCGACTCGAAAACCGAGAAAAGTTCGCCGCGGCGTTGTGCGCACCGGACGTCGCAGGCGCCTGCGCAATCATTATGTAAATTCTGATTATTATTGTTATAAATGCGGTAAAAAAATTGGGATGAGAGTAGCGGCCATCATCTTAGCGGCTCGTTACAAAATGCCCGTCAGTATAATTTGACGGGTTATCTTTTTCGAGTATCAGTGTTGTTTACTTGGAGAGCAGAGCGCAGGCGCGATAGGGTTGCAGCACTAGATCATTAACGGGATTACTGATACCCGTCCTCGTGACATTAAATAGAAAAAGGCGTTATGTTTTAGCTATAATAGAGGTTTAATTTGAGTCTGTTCATCATTTTGTTAGTAGCCGGCTAACAACCGATGCGCTCGTAAAATTTGACTGCACTTAATAAGGGCGATTATCGCTCAGAGACGCAAGTGGCGGCGCGTATCACAAGACACGCGGTGATACCACTCTTCATTACCTGAAAATCGCTCTAAATGGTAATAGCGTCGCGAGGAAGATCGTTGATCGACCTCGTCCGATCGAAATTAACGAAACAAGCGCAAATTTTTCTTGAATTAATTTTAATAAGGTAACAACTGACATTATGCATTTTGAGTAACTGTTCTTTATCGGCCGAACCTAAATGGAATATATTGAAAGGTATTTACAGTGGTGTAATTTCAGTCCTTATTGGCGGACTGGAAAGGCCTATGTAGATATTTTTTGTATGTATTGTGCTGTAAAAAGAGTTAATTAGGCACGTCTAAGCTAGGATCGACATCTCTCACTAAATGAGTGACAGCTAAACACTGCAATTATGAGGTTCCCGTCTCACTGAAATAACTGTTTATAATTGACGCGGCTGCCTTACTCCGCGTAAATGAACAACGTTTTATGTGAAAATGTTGCTAATGAGTGAGTGGATCGCGGCCCTAATGACGCGGACATAGTTTATGAAATCGAGCTTAGTGCGTGTGCTTTGCTTTAATTATTATGACATAGCTTTCTTATGGATAAACGCAACGACAATATGACAAACACTGCGGTGTATTGTGACTACTTTGTAACATTATTAGACGGACTGTTAGTGATAGCTGTCTTTGTTAACACTTACAGCTATTTTGTGAACAAATTTCTAGTCATAAACCGCCATTGACCGCTGTTTTAACAGAATGAACTTTAAGAGTACTATCGCCTGGTTTTATTTTCGATTCATTAAATGAAAAAACTAAATGTCGTATATGTTTCCAAGACAATCAGGGCGAGTAATTAGGTACCCCATGTTGTTTTTGTTTTATTTTCCGTCAACGTCTCGACAATAATTGTTATTTAATCATTCGGATAGGTCTGCAGTTACCGGCAGTAAGACGATTTACTCTATATTGTATCATTAAGGGTTTGTTCACCTTAGTTGTTAGTTTTTTCCTCTACAGGGCTGGGGGCAATATGATTGTCATTTGTTTTTTTTTGAAATGAATTCGAGCACTATGCCGCTTTTAGAATTATGAAAATTAATACTTAAATTCTTTTTTTTTTACTCTAAGACCTGTAATTCTATTTCATAATACAAACTGTACGTAGTAAAAATTCAAATATATAGACTTCGGCACACTAACTTTTTTTTAGAAACTTTTTGCTCGGTTTTTTCAGGAGCATTGTTATAAAAAGGTAAATTTGCAATGATTTCATCAATCTATTAGTAAAATTGTTATGACAGCATAGTTTACATCAATTAGATCAGATACCTACAGGCTGTATGCATAACGTCACTCTTGTAACCCAGGATAGACTTTTTATCGATAAAGTCATTATATATAATTTTGATAGTTGTCTTGACGATGACGAAGTTCAAAAACATACATAATAGCGATTAAATCACATCCAGTTGTGATGCATGAATA